ATATATATATATATATATATATATATATATATATATATATATATATATATATATATATATATATATATATATATATATATATATATATATATATATATATATATATATAATATATATATATATATATATATATATATATATATATATATATATATATATATATATATATATATATTATATATATTAGTCTAAAACTTATATATATCAATTAAACAGGAATTTTTCTAACACATTATTAATATTTCTCTAAAACTTATATATATATATATATTAAAAAAATTTTCATTAAACAGAAAATAAAAAATTTTCTAACACAGGAATTTAAAATATTTTTCATTACTAGTCCTCTCAATTATTGCCACGTCTTATTAAAAAGAATAGAAAATAAAAAAAAGAAAAAGAAACAGATAAGGAAAACAAAAGCAGCAGCTTTCGATTCTCCTTCTTTTTCGTTCACACATTTCGCCAAACCTAGCCGCCCTCTCAGACGCTCCGTCCTTCATCCGCTCCGAGTCAAACCTCTTTCGTTCACACCCTCCGCCATGTTCTTTGTCACTCCGTCCAACTTCCACGCCGTGTTTGTCGTCCATGTCGTCGTCTGTTCGTCGTTCGCCGTCCAACTGCTTTCGTCCACGTCGTCCGCCGTCCACGTCGTCCAAGTCGTCCGCTGTGTTTGTATGTATTTCTGCATTTATATTTCGATCTCCATTTCGTATTGTTGTGTTTGATTTGATCCTATTGTAAACAATTGTGAATAGAGTAGTGACTCTATTGTGGAGGGAAAACCCTTGAAGGAGAGATTTCTCTCCTAGTCCTTTCTATTTTCCGAATAAAATTGTTTTTCCTTTGGAATCCAATTCTGGGTTCCTAACACTTGCTATTTTTCTTATCTGTCTGTACTGTGACATGCACCTCTATCAGATTGTCTATAAAATGAATCTCTCAAATTGAGTCAGTGTTATTGATCTAAATAGTGTGTTTCTAAAATCTTGCTATTTTTTTGCAGGTATCAGGGGTGTTTCAAGCCTGCAGCATTTCTGTTGAGTAGAAGTGATGTCAAATACCAAGCACTGGTTTGACATTTACAAATTTTATATTTTACTGTAATGAACTCATGTGATTGTACATCACCGTTTTGATACTTAAGAGTTCTTTGTAGATTAATGGTTTTTATGTACATTATTTTTGTGAACTATGCTGTCTGTGACATTGTTTTCATTGTTCACCTCTTCCTGGATTTGGTTTCAAAAGGAAGAAAAGGTTATAGCTGTTTCACCTAGAAAATGAATAGTTGAAATAAATTGTTTTACATGAATAATGAATTATTATAACATTATTTAAGTCTATTTTTCTTACGTGCATGATGCGGTTCGCGGAATGTTAGCTTAGTTTCTTTTGAATTGTCACTGTTAAGGTGTTCATGTATATGTGTGTTGTTGTACGGTGTTTTACGGTTTGGTGTTGTTTAGTTTAGACAACATAATTGTGTATGTATTAGCCACAAGAGAACTCTCCTTTAAATTGGACAACATATATAATTGGACAGCATAATTGTTTTAACTCTCAGTATGTTTTATTGGACATCATATATAATTGGACAGCACCATGTGCATATATAATTGTTTTACGAAACTCTCCTTTAAATTGGACAGCATATATAATTAGTTAGATAACTCTCCTTTAAATTGGACAGCATAATTGTTTTAACTCTCATTATGTTTTATTGGACATCATATATAATTGGACAGCACCATGTGCATATATAATTGTTTTACGAAACTCTCCTTTAAATTGGACAACATATATAATTAGTTAGATAACTCTCCTTTAAATTGAACAACATATATAATTGTTTTATGAAACTCTCAGTATGTTTTATTCATGGTGGTATTCTATTCCTTTAAATTTTATATGATTAGTTAGATAAATTACTTTCTACTCTTTAAGTTTTGCATGAATAAATACCTATATTATTCCGTGGTGGCACTTTATTAGATAACTATTACAATATTGGTTCTTTGTTCAATTTTGTTTAATAAGTTTGTAATTGTAATTGCATTTCATTTTCTCATTTTCTAATTATTTGTCTTTAGATCATTCACCGTCGTTGTTTCGGTTAAACCTCAGTAGATATTTCATCGGTTTCAACATTGTTTGGGAAAGAAACGTCTTCGTTTCATTTACTAGCTTTGTTGTTGTTGTTGCAGTGAAGGAAGTTGTGTTGAAATCGAAGTCTCTTGTAACTAAGGACAAGATTTTAGTTTCTATTACTGCTGGAATCAAGTTGAAAGAATTCAGGTAACAGATACATATTATATAGTTTGAAAAGAAACAACAAATACATATTATATTAGACTATGAAATGTTTGTGCATGTTTAGATTAAAAGTTCACCAATTTATTCTATGTTTGGTATTGGAATGCATGTTTAGTGTATATTTAGATTATAAATGAAATTTTTATAATAACTATGCATTTGTAAAAGCTACGTTGATATATGAACCATGGTGTTTTTCCATCCTTTATATGATAAAGAGTAATGTATAATTTATTTCATTTTAGAAAACCAAACATAATAAAGAAGGATTGGGTGGAGTTACCTCCACACAGTCAAAGTTATAAGGACGGTGTAAATTACTTTTGGATATTGCATTCACCAAAGGAATGGTTGAAGAAGAAGAGATTTTGTGTCCTTGTTCTGTATGTTGCAATGATAGTTGGGAAGTAAGAGATGTAGTGTATGACCATTTATGTAGTAAAGGATTTGTAAAGGTATACACTGAATGGATTTATCATGGTGAAGATGAGAGTCTTATATATCTTGATGGTGATAGTGATGATGAAACATCATCTCATGATGATATCGATGGCTTACTATTTGAGACATTTAAAGATGTGGCTGAAGGAGGTGGAGTACATGAAGGGATAAATGAAGATACAAAGAAATTTTATAAACTAGTTGATGATGCAAATCAAGAGTTGTATCCTGGTTGTGAAAAGTTTTCCTCGTTATCATTCACTATTCGAATTTATTTGTTGAAATGTCTCCATGGATGGAGTAATGCATCATTCATTGCTCTCGTAGAGTTGTTAAAAGAGGCTATGCCAGATTTTAACATCCCTGTCTCTTTCAATAAAACAAAATCTATGATAAAAGATTTGGGCTTAGACTATAAAAAGATTGACGCATGTCCGAACAACTGCATGTTGTTTTGGAAAGATCACGAGAAAGATGATTCATGTCATATTTGTGGCACATCAAGGTGGATTGAATATCCTGAAGTTGCTAATGATCTTGAAGAATCTATAAAAGCTCATAAGATTCCCGCCAAAGTTCTAAGACATTTTCCATTGATTCCAAGATTGAAAAGACTTTTTATGTGTTCAAAGACAGCTGATACATTGAGGTGGCACGTAGAACATCGTTCAAGAACATCGTTCAAGGGATGGGAAGTTAAGGCATCCAGCTGATGCCCAAGCATGGAAAGACTTTGATGCCAAACATTCAGATTTTGCTCGTGAAACTCGTAACATCAGACTTGGGTTGGCAAGTGATGGGTTTAATCCATTTAGGACCATGAGTCTTTCACATAGCACATGGCCTGTTGTATTAACAGTATATAACTATCCGCCAAATTTGTGCATGAAGGCTGAAAATTGTTTGATGTCGTTACTTATTCCTGGACCAAAGTCACCCGGAAATGAAATTGATGTGTATTTGCAACCACTTATTAAGGAGCTTAAGATATTGTGGGAAGTCGGTGTAGAAACATATGATATTTCAAAAAATCAATCATTTCAAATGCGTGCAACTCTTATGTGGACTGTGAATGACTTCCCTGCATATGCTATGTTATCCGGTTGGAGTACTAAAGGGAAGTTTGCTTGTCCTGCTTGTAATCATAAAACTTCTTCAAGATACTTAAAACATAGTCGAAAGATGTGTTATATGGGTCATCGAGTCTTTTTGGATTCAAATCATAGTTGGAGATCAAATTCAAGTTCTTTTGATGGAAAGCCAGAATATAGGTCTGCACCCTCCTTGTTAGATTCAACAATGATTTTAAAAGACTTAGAAAAGATTCCTGACGTAGTGGGGCAAAAATATCATAAAAAAAGGCCTGGTCCATGGAAGAAAAAGTCTATCTTTTGGCAATTACCATATTGGAAGGATAATTCTTTGCGCCATAATGTAGATGTTATGCATACAGAAAAGAACATTTATGATAATATAATGGGGACTCTCTTAGATATTGAAGGGAAGAAAAAGGATCATGCAAAAGCTCGTTTGGACCTACAACACATGGGGATTAGAAAAAAACTCCATTTGAAGGAAACAAGTGATGGTAAGAAAACTCAAATCCCTAAGGCATGTTTCTCCCTAACAAAGCAAGAGAAAACTATTTTTTGTAATGTTTTAAAGACAGTAAAACTTCCTGATGGCCTTGCATCCAATATTTCTCGATGTGTTCAAGTTAATGAAGGAAAAGTTTCTGGATACAAGAGTCATGATGCTCATATTATATTGCATTACTTGTTGCAAGTAGCAATAAGAGGGATAGGCCCTAATCAAATTGTTATCCCTTTGCTTCGACTTTGTTCATTTTTTCGGTGTTTATGCTAGAAGGTTATAGATGTGAAATCATTGGATTACTTGGAAGTAGAAATTGCTGAAACACTTTGCCAATTCGAGCGTATCTTCCCTCCGAGTTTCTTTGACATAATGGTTCACTTACCAATTCACCTGGCAAATGAAGTCAGATTGGGTGGACCGGTTCAATAGAGATAAAATTCAAAAGGTGGAAAAACCAGTTGCAAGGAGAATACTTATTTCTTCCAAAAATAAGAAACCAGAGAAATCTACTCTATCTTTGGACACAATGATGTCAAAAGCTAAATGCTCTCAAAAGCTAAACAGGGTGCCAAAATGCCCTTCAATGTTGATTGATGATTATGTAGATCTTCACAAGTCAAAGGAAATGGATGCAACCAAGTCAAACAATGGTGAAAAACCGGGCAGCAGCGTTAACCGTAGCTCTAATCAAAATCAATCAAAAAAAAGGAACTCGACAAGAAAGTGTTCAAAATCGGGCAAAAGTCAACGAAGAAGATGCAATCACAAATAGAGAAGAAGAAAAAGGTAATTAGTTTCATATTTCATAATAATGATTTCATGTATTATTTACATATTGGTAGCAAACATGTGATATCATGTTGTTGTGTTATTACTTTATAGAAACATCCCAAAGAAAAACTCGTGGGAAAACTTTGTGCAAAAAGATTCATGCAAGAACTTTGGAAGAGCGAGTAGAAGTGACCTTTAATGAGGATTTTCAGCCAATTGGTCCTAGTGAAAAAGTAGTATCTGACTTGAGCCTCTTCTTGGGAACATTGGCTAGGAACTCAACATTTTGTCCTCTACGTTACACCAATTGGTCAGGAATGCCAGATGATAATAAAAACCGTTTCTGGAGATATACTAATGTATGTTTTTATCTATGAATTTGAAAGTCTAATTATTAAAAAAAAGTGTTTCATTTCTTGATCTTGTCTTATCTTATAATTTATGTAGCGGAAGTTTATCTTGCCGGTTGAAGCACGAGATTGGATTGAGACCACTGTTAGAGAGGCATGGAGAATATATAAGCACAAAATTAAGAAGAATCATTTTTTGATGTATTCTAACATGACCGAGAGACTCAAAAATCGTCCGCCAAACGTGCCAATAGCCCAGTTTAAGAGTCTTTGTGCTTATTGGAGTAAGGAAACTATACAAGTAAGATTAATAATTTTTTTATGTATGTGTGTGAATTTACACCTTTCTATGTATGCCATAATTAAGTAATATTTATTATAATAATTCTGTCAAATTTAAATGTAGGCAATAAGTGAAAATAACACTAGAAATAGAGCTCAACTAAAGTGGATGCATCGAATGGGTCCCAAAAACTTTGCTTTGACTCGTGAAAAAGTGGTAACTTTCTTTTGTTCTCAATAAATTATTCCTTGTATGAATGTTTCTTTGTTCAATTAAAGTATTCGTGAAAAACTTTTCTTTGACTCGTGAATAGGAATTTTAATTCACATAATTTGTTATGGAATTATTTTGATTTGTGCAGCGTGAAAAGGAAAAAAGAGAGCCCACTCAATCAGAAATGTTTGTTCAAACTCGAAAAGGAAATAAAGGAAAGGAACTGGATGTAGAAACTGGAAAAGTAATTGTATGTAACATTGTTTATATAATACGTTTGCTTAATATAATCGGCCAACATTGTCTATAATAGTAGCTAATATTTTTTTTTTGTAATTTATGATAGTACCAACTTCAAGAAATGGTTGAAAAGGAGGAAAGTGATACAAAAGCTTTTAAAGTTTTTTTTGGAAAGGAGTGTCCAGGCAGGGTACGCTGTTATGGGAGAAACATAACTAAAACTTCCTTAAAACGAGTTTCAAGATAAGATTGATAGATTGCAAAATTCTTTTAAGACCGTAATACAACAATGCAATCCTCAAATTAATATAGAGTTAATTGAAGATTTGTTAGGATTATCTCATGGAGATGCTAATAGTTCCCCAAAGGATATAAGACGGCAAATGCATTCATCTACATCAACTCATGCTCCATGTCATGGAAAGGTAACCATATATACCAATATTATTGATTTATATTTTTCTAATTATGTTATAGTATCAAAATGGTTGTTAATGTATGCAAAAATTTGCAAGTAGTGACAACACCTAGAATAAAGTAAGTGGTTGAAATTGTTTAAGTAGTGACAACACCTAGAAGTGGTTGAAACTGTTTTATTTGTGCGAGCTTTCATTGATATTTCACAAACATACTTGCCTGGGATAAGATTATGGGACCCCCTTGTTTGATAACACTCACTATGTATGCTGTAAATTTATCCATAACACCAAAGAAGATACAACAAGTAAGAGTGTTCATCAGAGTTCATTTACTCCAAAAAATAAACATAAAAGGATAGCACAAGTTATACATACATACATACATACATACATACATACAGTTAAAGGCTATTGTAAGTCATGAATAGTGAGCCAAAAACATAATGGTTTTCATAATTGATTTATTTGCTAGTAAGCTCATGTCACCTATTACAGTTTAGAACGAAAATTCACATCCATTAAAAACCTTCATAATTAATTCACATCCATGAGATGTGAAGAATATAAACAATGTGTTTTGCTCATTGGTTTAGTTTTTATTTATGCGAGGTTTAATTCTTGTTGATGTCTTAATTGTCCTTTGGACCAAAAATACTTATGGTTAATGTGTTTTATTTTATTTTCTTATGCAGCAATGTATCAATGAAGATGTTGAAAAGGACGATATAAATGATGAAATTCAAGAGGACGACATAAATGATAAAATTCAAGAGGACGACCTAAATGATAAAATTCAAGAGGACGACGTAGATGATGAATTTCAAGAGGACGACATAGATCTAGATGATGAATTTCAAGAGGAGGATATAGATGGTGAATTTCAAGAGGACGACGTAGATGAAGAATTTATGGAGGATGACATATCTAACGAATTTCAAGAGGACGATCTGGATGCTTTACTCCTAGAAGACAAACTTGAATGAGTTGGATGATGTCTTTTTTTTGGCTTGTAGTTGAAAGCATTAAACTTGAAATATGATTTTTGTTCTTTTGCTGAACTATGTTTTTAGTTATTTTACTAGGGTCATACTTCAAAGTATTAAAAGTAATATTGTTACGTTAGGCATTTTGTGTACTCTATATACTATATCTTGAATTAAAGTTTGAACTCGATTTTATTATATTACAACTTTTATGGATGTATGGTTTAAGTTATATAGTCAATATTATTTTTGATGCCAATTATTATTGACTATATTATTTTGATAATAATTGCAAAATTGTATATTTTATGTGGACACTATAAAACAACAACCTATAAGCTATGGCTACACTTCAAAAACGATCTTCCTTATTAAGGTTTAAGGCAACAATTGTTAATTGTAGCCGAATTTGGCAACGCAACGCTTAAAAAACGTTGTCTCAGAGGCCGTAAATAATCGTCCCATATTCCTTTACTATAGGCGACTTTTTTCAAAAGCGTTCCCAAAAAACATAAAAAAATGTCGCCTCAAACAATAGGCAACGCTCGCACAGGAGACGCCTAGAAAACGTCCCCTATTGTTTTAGGCAACGATTTTCAGAGTTCTGGCAACGTTTTTCAATTGTTGCTGGGGAGCCTAAATGTTGTAGTGCCCTCAAGGGCAAAACCCATACTAGAGTACATGCAGCAGAACATCAGAAGCAGCAACAATAACTTTAACACACACAAGCATGAACACACATGCCCCCATCCTCATGATTGCATGAGCAACCATACATACAACTACTCTCATTAAAGTAGTAGCATGCAATCCTATCACAATGATAAATTAACATGTCAAGACATGTGATGTAACATCAAGACACTAAACTTTACTCCCCTTTTTAGCCAAAATATTGACAAAAAGAACTAGAGTAAATATACACAATGGAAGCACACAAAGTTCTTCAGAACATATTTTACTTAGGAAATATAACAGATGGAAACACACATTGCACACTAGCAATACCACAGATGGAATCACAACTACTTCTTGGGAAGCTTTAGGTGGTTTGCCACCTCTTGCCCTGTCAAAAATTCTTTTGTATTCCTTGGTGTTGTAGCCAGCCCCACTGTCTTGCAGAATACCTTCCTTCCAGCCAATAACCTCAGCAATAGATAAGTCATGCCCTAGAACATAGAGGAAAGATGTAATAGAAGTTGCATTCCCTCTTTCCTGTAATTTCTATAACTCTTCAATAGTATAAGTTACAATCCCTCTGTCTTTGATAACAATAAGTTCTTCCTTATTGTCCATAAGCTCTAGTGTATCATTTTTCCCTTCAACAAGATTCCTGATTAGTTGCTTACAACTACCAAGATCCTTGTACCCGTCATGTTGAATAAGATATCTGAAGGAATTCAGATATTGATTGGGAAATTTCATGACCTCTCTCTTGACACCATACTTCTTTAACATTTATTTAGAGAAACTTCCACATGTTTCCCTCAAGGCAACCCGTTAATCTGTATTATATATATTTCTTTTAAATTTAAAGATGTTACCTTTATCAGGGTGACTTATAGTCAAATCCCTAGTTTGATCTATCTTCCCCTAAGTAAACAGACTTGTGTTGGACTGAGAATTCATCGGTTCAGTGTTTATGAATTCACAAGTCTCCTCTCCCAGTGCTTCATCAGTTTCCACATAGGATGTTCCAACATTAGCATTGACATCCTCCTTTCTTTCAGTAATTGAATCATCAACTCTCACATTGATAGATTCCATAGCCATACCAGTTTTGGAGTTATAGATCATATATGCTCTTCTGGTTGAAGAGTAACCCATAAATATCTTCTTATCCTCTATGGAAATCACCTTGTCCACTTGATCTTTAGTAGCAAAGATCAGGCATTTACTTCTAAAAATATGAAAGTATTTGACTTTAGGTTTCCTTTCTTTCCATAGCTCATAAGGAGTAGAGACAGTACCTCACTTCAAAGTGACCATGTCATGAATATAACAAGCAGTATTCATAGCTTCATCCCAAAACTCAAATGAAAATTGCTTAGCACTAAGCACCACTCTAGCTGATTCTTGTATTGCTCTAGTATTTTTCTCAATAATTCCATCTCCTTGAGTTTTCTAGGAATAAGAGAACTCATGACTTATCTCTTCAGAATCACAAAATTCAAAAAGTTTTGCATCCATAAACTCCTTGTCATTATCATTTCTAATTTTTACAATCATACTCATCTTCTCCTCTTGAATGCTTTGATACAGATCTTTGAAGACTTCAAAGGTATCTGATTTTTCTCTAATAAAATTCATCCAAGTACGTCCAGAATAATCATCTTCAACCATAAATACATACATTTTTCCTCCTATGTTGTCTATCTATAATGCTCTCATTACATCCATGTGAAGAAGTTCCAAAATTTTGGAAGTAGTTTGATGTTTAAACATTGGGTATGACATTATAATCAGCTTTTTACTTTCACATTGATCACAGACTTCTCTTTCTTCAATGTCGAGCTCTGGAAAATATCTAATGGCTCTTACAGATATGACTTCCTTCATTATTTTTAAATGAATATGTCCAAATTTTGGTGCCATAGCTTTACTTTATCCTCCTTGGTTGTTGAACATGTGGAAAAGTAAGCAACTATTTGAGATTCCTATAAGTAGCAGTTGTCTTTGGACCCGATACCTTTCATTAGAACAACTTCTTTCTCATTTTTGACCAGATATTTTGATTTTGAGAAGTTGACTAACAAATCTTGGTCACATAGTTGACTAATGCTAATGAAATTAGTAGTTAATCCTTTGACATGCAACACATTGTCTAACCTTGGACAACTATCACACACCAACTTTCTAACTCCTTTGTTCTCTCCATTAAAACCATAACCAAATCTAACAGAACATGTGAGATGTGTCTTGAAATCCACCAACATTTTCTGGACCCCTATCATATGTCTAGAGCATCCACTATCAAAGTACCATTATTCACTTGCTGAGTCTCTTAAAGAAGTATGTGTTATAAGGTTAACATCCCTATTTACAACACTTCTCTTTTTGCTCACAGTGTTGGCCTTAGAACGAACTAGAGTTCTTTGATCTCTATACAATTTGAAACAAAAATGCTTTATATGACCAGACTCACCATAGTAGTGACACTTCCAAGTCGACTGAGGTTGGTTTGAAGATTTATCACATTTTCCTAGATGTTGTAACATGAGTTCCGACATGATGATCTTTTTCTTCTTTTCAGCAGGAAAGACCTTCTCCTCTGACATTCTTCTCAATTTAATATCATATTGATAATGAACTTTGGTATCTTCATCATCTTTCACCATATTTATATAATTAGTCAAGTTATCAAGCTTGGAATTTAGGCGTGTTTCCTCAGTTTGTAGATGAGAAACATAACTAAGGAGTTACTTCCTCTCATTCTTCAAATCAACAATGATCTTCTTGTGATCTTCCTCTTTCTAGAGACTTTCTTTACACCTATCATATGTATCCTTGTAGGAAACATCTAGGACTTCATAAATATCATTATCATCATACTCATCACAATCTTCAACTTCATCTTTCCATCTGCCAGATAGAGCCAACACAAGTTTGGCAGTCTCAGAATTATCTTCATCTTTTGAATTATCATCATTAGACCAATATGTAACACTTCTAGTATTTCTTGAGGAAGTTGGGACATTAAGGTCTAATGTGACCATATCCTTCACATTCAAAACATGAAATGTCTCTGCTTTGACATGGCTTCTCTTCTAATCTTGTTTTCTTCTGAGAATCAAGACTATTATTGATGTCATATGATATGTTCTTGACACCTGGTGTTCTTTTTCTGTCCAATATTTTTAATACCCTATTGAATTACTTTCCAAGAAGAAAAATAGTATAAGAGAGATCCTCGTCAGTTTCCAGCTCAACTTAACCTTTCTCATCTTCAGCATTAGATAGAAAAACTATGCTTTTATTCTTCTTCTCAACCTTGTCACCAATAGCCTATTCAAATGTTTGAAGTGAACCAATAAGTTCATCAACTCTCATGTTGTTGATGTCATGAGCTTCTTCAATTGATGTGTCTTTCATGTCAAATCTCATAGGCAAAGACCTAAGAATCTTTCAGACCAACTTGGCTTTTGACATCTTTTCGCCCAATGCACTTGATGCACTAGCAATTTCAAGAATCTTCATTTTATATTCTTGAATTGTATCGTCATCATTCATCTTTAAGTTCTCAAATTTGGAAGTGAGAAGCTGAAGTCTTTAGATCTTTACCTTAGTGGTACCTTCATAAGTTGTCTTGAGAATTTCCCAAGCTTTCTTGGCCGCTGTACACATATTAATCAGCCTGAAAACATTTTTGTCTAATCTGTTAAATAGAGCATTTAAAGTCTTGGAACTTCCACTAGCTTCTTTATCATCATCTTCATTCCACTCTTCTTTAGGTTTGATTGTATCAGTTCCAACCTCCTTTCCATCTTTGTCAATGATCTTCACAACATGATGCTTCCATCCTTTCAAAATAACCTTCCAAGCTTTATTGTCCATAGCTTTTAGAAAATCTATCATTCAAACTTTCCACCGATCATAGTTAGAACAATCCAACATGGGTGGTCTGTTGTTATGGCCTCCTTCTTTATCTATAGTGTGAGAAAATATATCCCTGAATCTCACCCAGTAACTAAAATAGGGTGTCTGCTCTTGATGCCAATTAAAATTCTAGCACACACACAATATCAGAAGTTAAGACCTATGTCTTAACAACACACAATGTCATAACAAGTGTTATGACATCTGCTGACAGAACAACAAACAAAAATAACAACATAGTAGAACTATATCTTGTAGAAAAAGAAAGAACACAATGATATGTTAACCCAGTTCGGTGCAACTCACCTACTCTGGGGCTACCAATCCAGGAAGGAAATCTACTATCATTAGTACTAGTTCAAAGCTAAACTACCCCGTTAATAACTTATCGCCTAATCCCTACC